AGCAAGCAGGGTTGTGTCATCTGCATAACGCAGATTGTTGATAGATCTTCCACCAATCTTGATGCCGCATTTCTCCTCATAGAGCCCAGCCTCCCAGGTGATCTGTTCTGCATACAGGTTGAAAAGGTATGAAGACAGAACACATTCCTGGCATACACCCTTCCCAATTTTGAACCACGCAGTGTTTCCTTGCTCTGTTTTGATGACTGCCTCTTGATTCAAGCGTAAGTTTCGTATTAGCATGATCAAGTGTTCTGGGATTCCCATTCTTCTCAGAGTCAGCCATAGTTTGTTATGGTCCACTCAGTCAAATGCCTTTGCATAATTAATGAAGGACATTCCTCTGGTACTCCCTGCTATCAGCCAAGATCCATCTAACATTAGCCACAATATCCCTAGTACCACAACCCCTTCTAACTTCTGGCAGTTCCCTGCTGATATGCTATTCCAGTCGTTTTTGGATAATCTTCAGCAGAATCTTGCTTGCATGTGCAATCAATGATATTGTTCTATAGTTTCCACACTCTGTTGGGTCACCTTTCTTTGGAATGGGAACATATATAGATCTCTTCCAGTCAGCTTTCCAAGTGCTTGTTCTCCAGATAAGTACTATAGGAAATACAAAAGTCAAGATGCTCCATCTAACATTTAATAATCCAAGGAAATTCGTTAGTATATTCGTTTTCTCCTGGACACAAGAGCCTAGTATTTGGTCCTAGAAGCCTTCTGAGGTCCCAAATCTTCTCACTATTTCTTAGTTGTTGGACTTGACGGAAAACCTCATAAGCAGTTCCTTACTTCACCTCTGCCTTGCGTGCAGACTTCCGAGTTGTAAAACAACCCAGTGGTAGATGGAATTTGCTCCAGGACTTAAGAACAATAAATGACATAGTTGAGCCTCTATATCTTGTGGTTCCTAACCTTTATACTATAAGAGACAAAGTGCTAGTCAATAGGCCTTTTATTGTAAGAACTACCTTCCCTCTGTGACTTGATTTGTGCCACTATTAGAGCCTCTACTTGGAATATTATTGCTTTTTCATTTTTGACTCATGTACTTTTAACTTGTTAGTTAAATTTGTGTCTTCTAGACTGCAACACTTCCATGATACATCCTCAAGGATATGAACATGTACGGCTAAGCACAATTGATAACAGTGCATCTAAATTCCAAAATCAATCTCCATAATAGTCTATGTGTTTCCTATTGCCAAAGGGGCCCTTTAGAGTAGTAAGAGAAGATCTTCACGCTGAAACCTACAATGTCCATTTTCAGCAGGAAGTAGCTAAGAGAATACGCCATCCCCTTTTCCTTATGAATCAGGGTGAAGCCTCTCTCAAGGAGGAGTGATTGGGAATGGCAAAGGACACAGTGACAAAGGAGATTAATCAGTACTGGCTCTGACAAGCACTGTGGCAATGGGACAATTAAAACAGACTTTCAAGGGGGGGAAGAAGAACCAACTGAAGAGGAGGGTAGAGAAAATAGTGCAACAATGAATGAATTAAAACCCAAAATCTCTGTAAATGGTCATTAAAATTAATAAAATTTAATAATAAAAAAAAATAATCCAAGGAAATAAGTTTTAAGAAACACGCTAATTCAAAGAAGAAAACTATGCACACCCATGTTATTGTGGCTTTGTTCACAATAGCAAGGAGTTGGAAACAACCTAAGTGCCCATCAACAAACGAATGGATAGGGAAGCTGTGGTATAGTCTTACAATGGAATACTGCGTTGCATTGAAAAACAAGGAACTCATGCACTATTATTCAAAATGGGTGACCCTGGAGGACATTATGCTGAGTGAAGTATCTCAGTCACAAAAGGACAAATACTGCATGGTGCCACTGTTGTAAAACACGACTGACATTGGGGTTCGGGGGAGACTGAGAAAGATGGGTTCAATAATGTATACTCATTGAAACAGATGAGGGAGAAAACTGTTTAAAAGGGATATGTGATGAGGTATTTTTGTCATGACATGAGTCCAGAGCTAAGTCTGCATAGTAGAGTGGGGAATGGTTTGTAAAACAATGAAAGAATTTTTCTTTTACTTTTCCAAGAGGGTAGTGTACTAGGGGGGAGGGTTGGTAGGGGAGAGAAGTGCAACAATGAATGAATGGAAACCCAAAGTCTCTGTAAATTTTCATTTAAATTAATAATAAATTTTAAAAAAAGAAGAAAACTATAACTACCATTACCAGGTATAGGTCAATGACTGA